TGTTGTTGTTGTTGTTGTGGTACTCAACTTAGCCCTGCACATGGCGAACTACGGCAATGCCAAGAACATGTGTCATAATGCCACTTTACTGGTCACATATGGCTGGCAGTTACCATTACCACCAGCCGCTGCAGAAGCTCAAAACGCGTATACGCAACCGAACACTTGTCTGCAGCGAACACCAGCAGCCAGCCCCACAATGTTGCAGGCCAGTGGAATCAGCTGCGCCGCTGTTGCAGCCCCAGCAAAACCCGCAATTTAACCGATTATAGTATATTACACTCTATTGTTTATCAATGTTTTCTGTTTTTGTTTTTGTTGCTGTTGTTTTATTTTTGCTTTCCTTTCCTTATGTTTTCCTGTTGTTGGCTTTGTGTTTTTTGTTCATCAACTCACATTTCCTGACAAACCCATCATATGGTTGGTCGTACGCCACCACTACCACCACCACCTTGCAAAATGACAGACGCACACACAACAACCGCCTGAGGCAGCGAACAGTAAGGTAGTTGAAGAGAAGGGCTGGGTGGTGCTTGAATGATTATTGATTTTTACACACCACCGTTGTCGTACGTCGCCGCCGCCACCGCCGACATCGTCTTGTGCAATGGGATTTTGAAAAATAATTCCTTGAACTTCACACGACCATCAACGGCAAACGGCAATAGCCAGAGCTGCAGCGCCGTCAATATTCGTTAATATTTGTTTCTTTTTTTCTTCGTTGTTATGCTAACACCTTGTTTTCTTCTTTCTTTCACTTCAACTCTATTTAAATAGACTAGCTAAAAAAACGAAGAAGTTAAAAAAATAACTCCTTCCGACCAACCAACTTTTGTTTTAGACAAAGAAAGGCACTTTTTTCAAGAGGAGTATCCTTGGATTCCACACATTCCTTTGGGACAATTTATTGCTTAATTTATTGTATTATTTGTTTGGTGTATTTTCACATTTTCTGCTTCAACAATCACAAGTTATGTTTCACTTTTTTTTATTTTTTTTTTTTTCTATTTCCTTGACTTCACTGTTCACCACAGTTCACTCCTATTTGCCCGTATAATTTCTAACTACTGAACCATCGTTTTGGCCAGAAGCAGCAAAGGAACGTAGCACTCATACGCAGGGTGGAGCTTTCTCTCTGTTATTGTAAACAGCACAAAACAGATGATTTGTTTACATAGGCGGGTGACAGTGTGTGTGTAGTAAATGTTAAAGACGAACAGAGCTTTTCATGTAAAATGTTGATTTCATGTTATGTTACATAGGATGGCTGTATAACCGTTATAGAATCATGGGTTTTAAATATATAAAAGAGTAGAGAATTAGCTGATCGACAGGCCAAGAATCAACGCCAGACGAACGGCTGATGCTAGAATTTGGAAATTTTGAACGAGGGTTAATCTTGATGCGTGATAAAGCTGCAAATTCTTCTAATTTCTAAAGGGTGCGAAGATTACTACAACGTAGTAGAGAGCTAAAGGCTTTGTATTGGACAGACGGAATGAGCTAAAATTCTGAGATTTGCAATGAGAGTTACTGATGGAGTGCAGGATAGATGTAACAAAAAAATTTTTGGAAATTCTTATTTTAAGGTTACGAAAAGTTCTAAATTGGCACTAAACTTTTACAATAGTACCACTTCGTATTATGTACGCAGGAAGAAAATCTTGAAATTTGGTATGAGAATCAAGGTTGAACAAGTAAAAAAGCTGATAATTTCGGCCGGGTCGATCTTTTTATACCCTCCAGAAAAACTTGAAAATTCTCCAAAAAAAAATCCGCCGAAAAAGACCTCTCAAATAAAAATCTTTTTATGGAAGCTATACAAAGACGTGGCGCTGCATAAGTAATTTTTTATCATAGGCTGTAATAACAACTCCGACCTTTAAATACGAAATTGGAAACAGTTGTGTTGAATAATGTCGCTAATATCATCGAAATACCGAATAAAGAGAGGTACCATTGTATGGGGACTATAGAAAGACGTGACCTGCACAGACAATTTCCTGTCATAGGCTGTAATATCCACCACGAACTTCAAATACCAAATTTGTAACATTTCTGGTGAATAATATTTCTGAAATCATCAAAATACCAAATATCGGGAGGTACCGTTATATGGGGACTATACGAAGACGTGGACCTGCACAGGCAATTTTTTGTCATAGGCTGTAGCATCCATTACGAACTTAAAATACCAAATTTGAAAAAATTCCGGTGCATTATGTCGCTTAAAACAAGAACATACCGAAAATAGTGAGATACCATTATATGGGGCTATACCAAAAGTGGACCTACATGTTCCATTTTCAATACCAGACACAATATACATTTTAGTAAAATTTTATCAACCTACTTTATTTCGTTCGGTAGCTAGATTGATTTCCATAGATGGACATACACCGCAAAATCGACATAGAATTTTATGCTACCCATTTGTGGTAGGTTCGTGATAAAGGGGTGATTTTGGAAATGTGTACTACAAGAGCACGAAAAGTACTAAATAGTACTCTATTTGGTACAACTTGGTATTGGGTGAACAGATGGTTCTTAAAATCGGAAAATTGGTTTTAGGGCCTGGGTTCATGTGTAGCCTAGACATAAGGAGGTGGTGTCGGATATGAGCACTAAATGTACTAACTTTGGTATTGTGTGAAGGGATACAGATAAAATTCTGAAATTTGATAATTACTACTACTGATGATATCTGTGATTGAGATTTGGCGGATTATTCAAAATGTTCTGGAGTAGGATACATTAAGAACAGGACGAATTTTGGCCATTTCCGAACCTAGGTCTTATCAATACCTCAGGGTTTAATTACATCGGATACTCCTCTTGTACAATATGAAAATTTGATGTTATTTATTGGACATTTTTGTCCACCGGTTCCTTGCAATATATTCTGCTGTTTTTTTACTTCAATCTAGTACACGATCAACCTTTCCCCCTCCCTATCTCCAAACTGCAACATCAAAACGGGTTTGTTGATTACATACACGCACATACAAATCAGCAAGCAAAATATCCAGCTTGTTTTCACTCTTAGAGCAAACTCTTGATATTTTTTTAGCATTTCCACTCCTTCTCTAAACTTTTTCAAACAGGAGTAACTCGGAAACGCCCCCACATGAAACAAAAGAGTGAAGTGTAAACTTCGTAAGAAGATCTCCAACTGTTTGAGCAATTATGCTAGGAAGCAAGTTTCGCTCGAGAGTAGAAACGAGAAAACCTGTGCCCTGGTTGTCCAGTAATTTATGTTTCGTATTTCTTTTTCTAATCTGGATCCAACACCAAGCTACCTCCGCTCTTGTCAACGATATTCATAAGTGAATCGGGTAGTTTTGGCAGCACAATAAAAAAAGACGTTGAGGCGTTTTTACGATCCTGAATGTAGTTGGGCCACAACTACGCCGGTTTGTCCAGGCAGCCGACGTTCTATAGCTGCTATGGATGGTGGGTGGACTCCGAGGACGGCATTGTCATTGTTGATGGCATCTGTGACTGCATTAGTATAAATACCACATAGATCTGCCTTATAGTCATCGGCCCTCTCTCTACATTTGAGAAGTCTCCCCTCTGCTTTGGGATCTTAACCGCCATATTATGGTATGATACCTCCTAAGGAAAGTCAAAGGCAGATACTGCAACGAAAGGATGTGGATATGCAGACGTACGGAAAGAACCTCCGCCTCCTCGAATAGAAGGTCCACAGATGTCAAGAAGAGGCACATTGTTGCACTTTGTAGGGCACCGTTCGTGTGCCGAGATAATCCTCCACTGCGTAGTTGTAGTGTTTGACACTTGGTGAAAAGAGGTGCAGAGAGTTAGTCAATATTGTCCATTTCCACACCGGACTCGAGTCTTGCATAAATATTATGATGATCCAAGTTAAGCTATATCGGGTAAACCCATTACTCTATAAAATGATTTTTTTTTTCTACGGGACCTTGGGTCTAAACCGTTTTTATTGCGAAGGCCCATTATTACCGTATAAAGATTTAATACGGTCTAAAACTTAATATTGTGGGACTTTAAAATGTCCTTACTCCTAACCATGCATTTTCACCGTATTAAGATTTAATATTAAAACTTAATATTGCGGGACTTTTACCTTTTTCCTAACCATGCAATACCACCAAAAAATCATCAATATTTTCCAAATCAATACTTTCCTATTATTTCCTTTCTGACCACAGGTCGATAATTTTGTATACTCTTATTCCTGTTAAAAAAAAATAAAAACTTAAAATCGAAATTATTTATCTAAAATCCCTAACAAATAAAATCAAATACTAAAAATATATTCGAAATGATCTAAATTTAAATTTGCGGGACTTTAAAATGTCGTCATTCCGGCATTGATAAATGTTTTCAAAAATTAAATAGAGATGAAGAGAGGGGGTCTGTGCCTAATTGAGACAAAATAAAAAATGAATTTGACAAAATAGCGGCATGTTTTTGCTCGGTTTTTTACACACATTGCTTTCTTGATGTTTTCTATTTTGGTATAGAAGAAGCAAAAAAAAACCAAAACAAAATTGCATTGTATTGTCTGCGTTCCGTTTTCATTTCAATTTATCATCGTCATCAAGTAACACCCTTCCGCACAGTTTTCATTTTTTTTCTTTTTCGCTGTCGTTGTCGCTCTTTACAAGATCAATAGGAAATGCATTGGATTTTCATGTTTTCTTTCAATTTTTTTCAACGACAACTTGTCATTCTCCTCTAGGAAAATGTCAACAATGTTTGCCTGACATTATGAGTGCAGAGAGAGAGAGAGACTTCTCAGTTGTTGTCTCCCATGCAAGAGTGCGTCACCAAGGCTCGATGATGATCTACCACAGCCTTCGTTGTTTGGTTACACTCTTGTGGCCAAAATTGCGTTTGACAAGTGGACCAAAAGAAATGTGGTCTGCATGGTCGTCGTCGTTGTAGTCGTCTTCTGCTTGGGGCCCAGAGAATGAGAATAAGATTTCAACACTTCTGCCGTACGCGGCGACAGTTCAAAATTTTAGTTTGTGAGCAGAAGTTAAACGATCTAGACGACGAAAAACATATCGACGGTGCGAATCGCAAGAGAAACAAATTGTCTAAAGTCGGACGACAATTCATTTATTTGTGAACGGCACGCGAGTTATGTAAGAAACGCTATTTAGGCCGAAACATTAAAAATAAAATGTACACAGTTTAATGGAAGTAAAGGAATACATTTTTGTTACAACTAAAAATTTGTTCAAAATCTAAATTAAATCGATGATAACGAATTCAAAAAACGGCGAACAAGATACGATAAAATATACATATATATAAAATTATAAAATTTAAAAATAAGAACAAAAAAATCAAAGTGCAAAGAACGGAAACAGGAAGTGTAAGCAATATAGTATTTAAAAAGTTTCAATAGCAATAAAAAAGGCATATAAGAAATTAAAGAATAATTTCATATTAAAATGAAAAACAAAAAAATAGAAAAGAATTCTTCTAAAAATAAATTGTGAAAATTTTTGCCTATAAAAGTCTTAAAATTTGCTTTGTGCGGCATTTAAAAATAGTTGTCGATATTTCAAAAATAACACAACAACGTCTCCCTGGGCTTACTTACACTGCCACTAGCAGCAGCAGCAAACCACATCGTCATTTATTTTCACGTCACCACCACCAGTAGCAGCAACATCACCGGCAGCCGAACAGATTGCCAGCCAGCCAGCCTGCCTTCTTGTCTGCTGCCTTTCTTCCTTCCTCACCAGCATCGGTTCTTTCACACACGCCATACATTTGCATTTTGTTTTCCTCACAACCGATGCTGATGCTGCTGACAAAATTTATTTTTGGCCATTGAAAATAGAACAATATTTGCAATATGGGTCTTTGGATTATTTTGGCCTGACTTAAGAATAGACTCCGAAGATCTGTTAGTTTGGAACTATGAAAATCTAGCGATGCATATTTTTTCTCCCGAGATGTGGACTTCCCGTGGAGAGTGCATTTCGCTCATTACGGAAGTGTGGAAGTGAGAGTCAGAGAGAAAATGAGTGATGCATGCAAACACGTTTCCGTTGTTTTTCTCAAAATTTCTCCCTAATTCTACTATTTTATCGCTCTCCCTCTCTCCTTGTTGATCATACTCATTCTCTTGGAAAGCAATAATTCATTTATTTTTGTAATATCCACCTTAGAAAAATAAACAATAAAAGAGATACATATACGGGGAAGTGTTTCCAACACTGCAGGAATAAAAATCGCTAAATTTTAAATATTATAAAATATATCGATAGAGAACATAGTTTTGAAGAAATATTTTGAAAGTAATGAAGAAACAGAGAGAAACAATTTCCTATAATGCAGTAATATTTAAATTGAAAAAAAGGACAAAAGAACTTATGGTTTTAGGTCCATGAAACAGGAATTTTTATCGTCAGATCTGAGCGGCTTGACTGTTATACTTCAACATCACATATAGAAAATCCCTTAATAGAAAGAAGCCCTTAATATTCTGAACTATTCTCAATACTCCGAGTTGTTCAGTTGAATAAAAAATTATTTCGGGGTCCAAGAACATGGCCATCTATGTTGAATTTGCAGTTCAATGGAACCAAAGCTGTGATCGATAACGAATACATGTTATGGCTTTAGTGTAGCATTAAATTAAATTCCTTCCAACTTGGGTGAAATTTTGCAGAATTAAATCAATTCTTTGACCGAACTTACGTTCTGCGTGAAAATGTTCATTACTTGACAGAGATCGATTTTCATTTCTATAAAAGCGGGTAAATAGCTTAAATGCAGAGAGAGAGAGAGAGAGAGAGTTTTAAAAGAATAAGGTTCTGAAACAACTTTAGAAGGTTCAGAAGGCATTCTTATACCAAAAGCCAGAACCTCCTTTTATATAAAAAAAACAGAAAATGTTTTTACATAAAAGTTGACTAACAACAGCAGATCCAAAAATTATAGTTGAGGTCGAGCACATGTCCCAAAAGACCAGAATGTTACTTGGAATACAAGAATACAAGACAAATTCTTTTTGAACAAAGCACCTTCTTAAGCAATGCCTTCTTACATAAGGAACATAGAAAATTTAAAGGTCTTCTAATGGAGAAAACCAGATTTCTTTTATAATAAATTGTATAAATGCATCTTGTACAATTGTCGAAAATACGGTCTTAAATAGAGACGAAAGTTGGCAAAATTTTCCATTTTCACACCTGATCTAAATCTTGTCTAAATATTACGAAATACCAAGTTCGAACTACCTCTTTCTCTCAACATGAGGAATTTTTTTTTCGAGAACAACTTTTGAACTTTTGTAAAGGAAGTACTATAGTACCATAACATGGACTAATACATTCGATGTTCCCTCTTACTATAATATTGGTAAACATTTTGAGATCTACACTGATATCATTCCTCTGATATTATAATGTTTTAACAAGTAAAAAACAGCTAAATTTGGCCTGTTCGAACTTTTAATACCCTCCACCATTTGGAAGGAACTCGAAAATGTTCCGATAAATACCGCTTACATGAAAACTGTTGGGGGGCTATACGAAGACCTGGACTTATTGTAATTTTTTTGTCATAGGCCGTAATACCCATTAAGATCTTCAAATACGATTTGACTTTATGTGAAAAATTGATTGGATCTGAAAAATTAATTTTCTTTCCTCTTACATAAGTTTTATCTATTATTTTATTACTACGATGTGCCAAGATTGATCTCTTCATTTTCACTCGGAAGTGAAAAATGGTAGCGAGTGAGATTGCCCGAAGAGTATTTGAAAAATACGACAACTCTATGACAAAAACTAAAGGAGTGCTCGGCAAGAGCAGAATCTGCTGGTTTTCGAATTTTGAACGAATTCGAACGAATTTTGCCCCCAATCTTCAACCAAAAAAACCTACTCGCATTAATTCGAGCTCGGGGCTTCGGCCGATACGAAAACGTGGACCTAAACATACCATATTCCGCCACCGGAGCTAAAACCCTACCCTAAAACCCTATGACTACAACTACCAATTATTAGACAAATCCGTGGAAAAATGTGGCAAAATCATCAAAATACCGAATATTGAGATATTCCGTTATATGGGGGCAATACAAAAACGTGGTCTTATGCATACAATGTTTCGCCACCGGAGCTAGAATCTATTATGACCTACAAATACCAATTTTTAAACAAATCCGTGAAAAAATTTGGTAAAAACCATAAAAATACCGAATATCGGAAGGTACCGTTATATGTCGGCTATTCTAAAACGTGGACCGATATATCTCATTTTCAATACCAACTATCCAAGGCACAACACAAATTGTTCTGCCAAATGTTTAAGCTCTACGTCAAATAATTTGGGCTGTATCGTGATTTTAACAGACAGACGGACGAACAGATATGCAGATGGATATCGTGAAATCGAGGTAGAATTGTGTGCTGATTATGAATATATATACATTATGGGTTCTACGATGAATATTAAAAATTTTACAAAAGGAATGGCAAAGTAAATATACCCTCCGTTTCAAGCTGGATAGTGTAAAAACGAGTTTGCTCATTCTGTTTTTCCTACACCAAAGAGTGCTCCGACTGGACTTCGAACCAGTCACTCCTTACTGCAATTAATGTGAAATTTACGGAAGTACTCCATTCACTCAATATGAGGTTTATATTGTTCGTATTCATCTAAAATAAGGAAAAAATATCTTCCATAAAAAGGAAAGTTATTTAAAGCCTGCTCTTTCTGGACAATATATGTCGGCTACCAAAATATAAATATGTTTTATTTTTTTTTTTCATTTACAAATATTTTATTAGTATTTAATACAGCAACACAATAAAGACATTTGTAAAAGAACAAGAAAATGGATCTACCAGACCATGAATGTATTCTAATTATATGGAAGACCCATTCTCCATAGGCCTTTATAACCACATTTTGTTTCTTGTTCATTTTTTTTTTTAACACTGTATTATTTTATTTTTTAATTCTTATTTCACATTAAAGTAAGAATATTGTAGATTGGACCTTTAAATCACAAAAAAAAAAAAAAAAAAAAAAAAAAATCTGCGAGAAGCAAAAAATGCTATTCAGCTTTTTAATAGAAATGTCAAGCAGAAGCCCTTTAAACGAAAAATGGGACTCCCTTCTACTTCAGTCACAACTTACTCATCAATTTTGAAATTGAACAGTTTTCCACGTTTAAAACCGCACAAAAATCGCCATATTTGCAACACTGATTTGAAACTCAATTGTACTCACGAATGCCACACACCAGCATTCATTCAGAGATCACTGGTGTCGGATGGTAGATTGCGTTACTCATACGCCATATGGCACACACAATGTCAAATGAAAACTTTTTATTTATTTTTGAATTTTATTATATCTTAAACTAATTTCAATAACATATTCAACATTTATAGAAATATTTGAATTTTCGCTCTCATAGTTTGTTGTGTTTTCTATTTTCTATATTCGAGAGTATTTTGTGGCTTCCCAAAGCCAAAGAGGCGTTTGTCATCGCCTTTAATGATGTGTTTTTATTTTCAAAAGAAAATATTTTTCAAAGTTTTCTTTTTCGTTTGGCCTCAGCCGTTCGCAGCCCCTCTTTCCTGCCATTCGAATCTCGATTTTTTTTTTTTCATTTCCCACAGAAGCCGAAAATATTCATATGCTTGAGGAAAATATTTTTATAACATTTGCCTCATTCGTCGCATACACACGCCAATTTTCTTGTAAAGAACGATCGGCTGTTTTTGCCAAAAAATAATTGAAATAAAATATTTAGCCTTAAGCCCTCGAAACAAATATGAAATAAAATTTTTGGTGTAAATCTAATTTTCATTTAGCACGGAAATGGCCTTACAAGCAAATAATAGAAATTTATTAATGCGCAATGAACGCACCATGCCAGCCTGGGTGGTAAGTTGGAATATGGGAAAATTATGAAAATATAATTTTGACAAAATATTCACAAATTCTAGACGGAGCAAAGCGATCGCGTGGGACCCAAACCGCCACCACCTCCCCTGGCCACAGAAAATGGCCATATAACAGCACCAGCAAAACAGCCAGCATTGCCGCCCAAAACTTCTGCCCAACCCGAGCCGGATTATGAAGTTATTGAGTTTTCAAATCAGCAATATTCGAACACGCCAATGCGGCCCTCTTCGGCCAGCTCTGGTTCCAAGACACCAGGTATGTATGAGTGGGGATTGAGTAATGGGATACCAATGTTGAAGGCCATTTTTATTATTCAAGATACCAAATTGAAATGCACCCTTTGTGGTTCATCGAATCCCTGGGTCATGTGTGAAGAGTGCTCCAAACAAATATTTTGCGCCTCGTGTGATGATATGTTCCACAAGCATCCCAAGCGTAAAAATCATCAAAGGAAGGTAAGGAAATGAAAATTTAAAACCGATTTTGTTATGAGAAGGGTTAGAGTCTTTTTATGTATAAAATTAGTATTTAAAAGTAGAGGAGGGGGAGGGGGTAAAACAAAATTCCTACTAAAAATGGATGAATATGAGTCATGACAAATTTGTAGCTTTAGAGGGAATTTTTTGGAGAACTTGGCTCTTCATTCCCATATTTTCTTAATCAAAGTGGATCTTTCAGAGTTAAACGGGAATTAAAAAATTTGGTCTAAAATCAATATTTGGAGACTTTGCAGCCCTTGAAAAAAAAAACAAGGTGTATATTTTTTTTAAATATTTTATTGAGAAAAAGGAAATCTGAAATCTCGATATATGGATATTTAATAGATAGATGGGTTATAGATGGGAAAATCTAAATGAAGGGGGTGCCTGGAAGACTTTTTCTTTATAGAGGATATTTCAAAATATTAATTTGCTAAGAGTGTCCAGTTACAGACTCTATTGCTATAGAAGAGTCATAAAATTCAACCTTCAAAACCTATGAAGGTATTTCAATACTTCCTTTTTCAACAAAAAAATAACTAAGGGTCTGTAGAAAATCTGTGCTAAGATCTGAAGTATTAGGCTTTTCTTTTTCTCATGCAATCAAATAGTCCCATTTTCCCACTTTTCCAAAATATTCCAAAAATAATTCAGCATTACTCCTGTCTGTTTTCAACACTCTTAAATTCAATTTATATAAAATTTCATTTTAAAATTTTTCAAAATTATAAAATACTTTTTTATTTTCTACCAACTTTTTTACAGACTCTAGAACAAAGCAATCCACCACTACCACCCAAACTTCTGCCCGGTCAACCTGGACCCGCACCGCCAGTGGCCCCACCAAGACGCAACAAACGCGGCCTCATGACACCCCTAATGCAACGCAAGGATCAGGTACGCTTCTGCACGATTTTCTAAACGCGAAACATTGCGTATTTCTCGGCTCGTTGACTAAACATACCTTCGTTCGTTTTAAACAAAGATTTGCTTGCTACCCCCTGGCCGAAACAAGTTTTGTAACAGCTTCAAACCAAAAAAAAACATCCAACAACTTTTTTGAAATTGAAATAAAAACAGCATTTGAAAAAAAAACCAACTAAAACTCATTGGTCATTGACTCTGTATTTTGAATTCTTCAAATAGGTCAACTCGGCAGCATTGCCCATACCGCCCTCCCCAACGCCCTCCATGAAAAATGCCTCCTGGCACGAGCGCGTGGGCTCTCTGAAACGTGGCTTGAGCATTTTGAATCGACCACTACCGGAAACACCCAAAACACCCACCACTCCCAGTGAGTCGTCACGCTGTACTACCCCCAAATCGGTATTTGACAATATACAACGGCCGCCCTCGGTGGTCTTGGAGAAGATAAAGAACAAAGCGAATGCCACACTAGATCGCATGCAGATGTTGCAGCAACGCTACCGTCAACAGAAAGAGCAAATGGAAAGAGATCGCAACGGCTATAGCAGTGAGCAGCAGGTAAACAATCAAGAGGAGAACTAAATTCTCCCATCTCTCTCCATCTCTGTCACTCTCATAATCTGTGTGAGAGCAGAATTATCTTGTTTTTATTTTTCACATTGAGAAATATTTCCCCCAACATTTCCTCTCATTTGAAAATTCACAACAATTGTCTTTTTTCCCATTGTGTTTTCTCCCACACACCCCGACCTCACCCACACAAACAATTGTTGTTCACGATGACGTCTCTGTGGTGTATCTGGCATCCTTTGAAATGTATGTGTGTACGTGTACGTGTATGTCTCTGTCCATTGTCATGTTGGTGTTGGGTAATGGAATGGATCCGCCATCGTCTCGAATCGCCTCTCTCAGAATCACAATGCATTTGATCAGTGGTCTAGCATTTCACCATCGCCATCACATTTTCCTTCTGGCAGCATGTCATCCGGTATCAACTCATCTCATCTTGATCTAACGGACGATTCAAGTTTCAATTTGTTCCACCAGCGCCAGCTGGCCCTGCAGCATCACAAGTTGGCGGCCCAAAGGGCAAATCAGCTGGGTCAGCGCGGCATGTCATCATCGGTGTTTAATTTGAATCAAGCCAGTCGCAAGCCGCCGTCCATGAACAATGGCTGGTCCAACAATCCAATGCATCAGGTGGGTCTGCAACGAATTCCAAGGAGAGGAGCCACATTTTAATACAATTTTCTTATTTTAACTTCCAGGCCCAATCCATGGCTCAGCTCAACTGTGCCAATTGCAGTCACCCACAGCAAGGTAACTGGGGACACCAGCATCACATGCCCATGAATCACCATGACCCTTGGAGCAATCAATTGAGTTCCCAGCAACATTTAAATCGCTCCAACCTGTCCTTGAATGTATCAGCCGGTTATATGATGCCTCCGCAGCACAGTGGCATGTATCCACCGCCAGTTTTTATGAATCAACGGGGCATGATGGGTCAGACGTTTGCCCAACCGTATATGCCGGGAATGCCGGTCATGAATCCAGGTGGGTCCCTCACTGGAGGAGATAAATATTTATTCTGATATTAAATTTTATCTTCTTTATTTTCAGGTCTGGTTGGCATGCCTCCCTCTGCTTCTAGGGCTGCCTCGCGAGCAGGCTCACGCATGGCCTCTCCGGCCTTGAGTCGCAAATCGGTCACTCTCCGACGAAAACAACGTGCCAGCTATCACAATGATGAGGCCACCGACGACGAGGACTCCGATGAAGATGATCGCCGTTCGATGGTCTCAAATCGTTCAGCTATGTCGAGGACAAGACAGCGGCGAATGTCCAGCGCATCACAAATCCAATTGGAAGAAGATTTGGATTCGGGTCAGCAGCGGTCACGTGTCCGCAGTCAACGCAGAGATTCTGTGGCGAAGTCGGTACACAACGATTGGGCGCCGGGTAGAAAAATATCCAGCAGCAATAATCGCTCCGGTGACTCCGGTTTTAATAGTCCCCGGCAAAAACCGACAGCAGCAAATCGTATATATTCCGATTTAGATTCTGAGGGTTCGGGTACCAGGGCCTTGGTCCAAGCCAAAATCGAACAAAAACTCAAAGAGGAATCCCTGAAGCAGCAGAAACAAAGCAAATCCAAGCGTCGAAGTGAGTCACCGCCCAAACAAAAGCAATCAATGGCAGTTCAAACTCCGGTGGGTCATGCCAAGAAAAATGAGGATAAGCCTCCAGAGAAACCGGCTAGCGAAAGTGAATCAGAAGAAGAGGAAGAGGTGGAGGAAGAGGAGGAGGAAGAAGAGCAGGAAGAAGACCAAGCTGAGGAGCAGCAACAAACAAATGACTCAAAAACAACAACAGCAGATGAATCCCAAAAACCACAACAAAATGGCCAAGTTAATGGCGTCGAACCTGATCCAGTCTTGGAAGATGAAGACGCCGAATCCTTGGGACCACCACCTTCTACACCCGAGCAGGAATGGGAGTGTGAATTTTGCACCTTTGTTAATGAGCCCAACATAAAAATCTGTACCATTTGCTGTAAAACCCCCAGCAAGCCGCCCAAACTGGTGGCCAAGTCCATATCACCACCCAAACAAGTTCCAGCTGTGAAAACAACAAAGGATTCAAAAAGTGGTACGATCAAAAGAGTAACAGCAACAACAACGGATAAGGGAAAATCCATACTCGCCAAGAATACAACAACAACATCATCAGTCACAACTACGTCATCATCATCCACCACAACAACCAATAACGATGCCATAACAGAATCATCCTCCTCTCAGAACTCCACTAACGCACTAAAAAAGAAAGGTAGGCCAAGGAGAATCTCGTTTCTGGAAGGAACCAAATTTAGCTAAGACACCAACCCCGCCCATGCACATATCCCAAGTTCCTTCTCTCCTTCGGCTATCTAACTGACTCATTAATAATTAATAATGATCTTCATTAGTTTAAGTAACAACAATTTTGTAAGACAACAAAATACAACAACATTGACATTACTAACAACAACAACAAATACACCTTACCCTTGAAACACAATTTTTGTGGTTGTTTTATTAATCTTCTGTGTTTGATTGAATTTTATAGAATCGGTAGAAGATATTTGGGCGGCATTGGATGAAAATATACAGGCCACGGCTAATGAAGTGACACGCAAAGCGGAAACTGCCTCCACAACGTCCGTCTCAGCCACATCGGCCAAAAAAGCCACCACCAAAGTGTCGACCGGCTGTGGCACCACCACGACTCGTGACAAATCGGCCAGTATTGAGCGACAAGTAGAAGAGACGCGCAAATCTCAGGCCAGGGAAATAGGCACTTCGCCACCACCTCAGACCATTTCCACTCAAGTAGGTTTTTATGAATTTACGAAGATAGATCTCTCAAAAAAAAAAAAAATTAAAATCCCACTTTTTCTTCTCTTAGACCTATGAAACTTTGCCTTTACGAAAAATTGCCGATAAAGAAGAGTCTCCCTCGATTAAACCTTTGCAAACGAATGGCATTCAGGAACCGATACAGGTGAGTTGTTGTTTTCACTGGACGTTCGCCCATAGTTCTTATGTTTGTGGAATGTTTGCATATTTTGAATCTCAGGTGTTTTTTAAAATAGGGACATTTTGGCGATATAAGAAAGGGCTTTATCGGTTTAACTGCTACATATTTAGACTCCTGAAGAAGACTTTTCTAAAAAATTGAATTTGTGAGTAGTCGTGTAATAAGGCGAGGTTTTTGGAACTTCGTACTAAAAGGGTACGAAAATTTAAATAATTTGTATTGAACAAACGGAATTAGTTAGAATTCTGAAATTTGGAATGAGAAACACTGATAGAAGATAGATAGATTCCAAAGTGTATTTGGAAATTCCAACTTTATGGTTACGCAAGGTTCTAAAATTGTACTAAACTTCTAAAATGGTACTATTTGGCATTATGAGAATGGATAGTCCGATTTTGTTGGAAAGTAAGTTGGAGAGATAAAGGTGGTTCTGGAAATGTGTGCTAAATCTATACTAAATGGCACTAAATTTGAAACAGTTTGATTTAGGGTGAACAGATGAAATTTTGTATTGGCCTCCCTGATGGTGTTAGGATTGTAATAATGAGGTGGTTTTGGAAATGTGTACTACAAGTTCACGAAAAGTACTAAATGCTGCTAACTTTGGTATTGGATGAATGGATAGGGCTGGAATCCTTAAATTTCATATTGAGATCTCTGTTGACATCTGCGAGTGAGATATTTAGTTGATTTCGGAAATGTTTATTATAATTGTACGAAAAGTACTAGATAGTACTAAATTGGGTATTGGCTTAAGGGTTAGAGCTGGAATCCTGAAAAGGTTTGAATATGGAGACGTTGACATTGTTTTGGATAGAAATATTAGATAATTCCACCTCGGTAAATTTCACAATGAACGATTCTGAAGACTCGTTGGTATAAAGGATACCATTTTCCTATTATTCTTTCCGAAAAAGACAAATTGTGCATTTTGAGTACTGACATGTAAAAAAGCAACTAAGTTCGGCCGGGTCGAACTTCCGGAAACTACAACTTAAATGAAAACAGTAATTTTTTGACATAGGCTGTAGTACCCATACGAACTTTAAATACGAAATTTGTTACAATTCCGATGAATAATGTCGCACAAATCATAAAAATACCGAGTATTGAGAGATACCGTCACATGGGGGCTATACGAAGACGTAGACCTGGATGCAAAAATTTTTGTCATAGGCTTTAGCACCCATTATGAACTTCAAATACGAAATTTGAAATAATTCCGGTAAATAATGTCGCTAATTTAATGAAAATACCAAATATCGGTAGGTACCGTTATATAGGGGCTATAGGAAGACTTGGACCTGCATATGCAATTTTTTGCCATAGGTTGTAGTAACCATTAAGATCTCCCAATACGATTCCGATTCCGGTGAATAATGTTGCTGAAATTATCAAAATACCGAATATCGGGAGCTACGGTTATATGAGGGCTATACGAAGACGTGGACTTGCATAGAAAAATGCTTGCCATAGGCTGTAGTACCTATTACAAACTTTAAATATGAAATTTGAAATAATTCCGGTAAATACTGTCGCTAAAATCATGAAAATACAGAATATCAGAAGGAACGGTTATATGGGTGCTATACGAAAACGTGGGCCTGTATACGAAAATTTTTTTCCATAGATTATAGCAACCGTTGAGAAATTTGACACGATTCCGGTAAATAATGTCGCTGAAATCATGAAAATACTGAATATCGGGAATGGTAGTACCCATTACGAACTTTTGAATATGAAATTTTAAATAATTCTGGTAAATAATGTCGCTGAAATCATGAAAAAACCGAATATCGGAGGTATCGTTATATGGGGGCTATACGAAAACGTGGACCGACTTCAAAAGTATTAAAAACTATGTTTTTGGGCAAAAATTCTATTTTTCTTCGGCTTCAAATTTCCTTCAAAGTCAACTAATTATGCGAGACATTAGATAAGGTGATTCTGAAAATTCGTACTAAAATAGTACTCAAAACTGTGTTTTGGAACTGAATTCCTGAAATTTGATATTTGGCTTTACCTAAAGGGGGTGGAAATTGAGTCTAAAATAAATTTTAAAAATCGTACATATTTTTACGAAACTCGTACAAAAAAACCTTTGAATTAATATGGGAGGCTGCTTCTGGTGCAAGGAGTCGTTAATGTTATCAAATCAAAAAAAAAAACTTTTAAATACTAAATAGTACTAAATACTAAAATATACCAAATATGTCGTTCTGGAGCCTAAAATTCCGTACATTCAAAGATACAACCTTGTCATTTCGTCTATTGGTGCAAAACGTTAGATAATTCAATTATTGAAAATAAGTACTAAATCTTTTACTGTTAGAGCTACAAACTCTCTTTAATACCATTTTTATCACCATTTCCATTTCATTTCTTTATTCACTTTTGAACAGACGACTTTTCCCACTACGAATAAAATTCATGACCTGAAATCATTCGAGAATGAAGTTCTTCACAATATACACAACATCTCCCACATTGCCTCCAATCCGTATCAACAATTCCAAAACAGTCACCACCAGCAATCCTATTATCCCAATCACGAGCGTTATCAGAGGTATCGCAGTAACAATGATTTACGTATGGATGACTCGATGTCCATGGACTTTGAGGCATATCATGGCGGGGGAGGTGGCATGGGAAGGCGTCACCCCTCCATAAGTGAACTGCTGCTATTGCAAAGAGTAAATATTCCTGAATTTCATTCAACCCTTCCTTTCATTCCCTCTAATCATTGTCATTTATTCCAATACAGGCATCATCACAAATGCATTCCCCCCTGACTGGCAGTAGCTATGACTTGTCATCATATCGTCACAGTGGCATGGATCATCACAAAGTATAGCCTCATAAAGTTTATTCTTTTCCAGTGCTAATTTACTCTCCTATTTTCTCAAATTCTCATAGGAATCCGATTTGTTGAAATATAGCTCGGAGGAACTAAATGCCGCCCTAAAATATTGTGGACCCGATATGCATCCCTTGATTTGGTTAAGAGACAACTGGCCGAAGTTGATACAGACGGTCCAGAGTTTGGCCACCAAATATGGCCAAGAACGGGCGGAGAATACCATTGGCACCATTTCCCAAATGGAGGCCCGTGAAGCTTTACGCCTGCACACCGGCAATATTTGGCAAGCTGTTTCAGAATGCATTGAACAACGTCAACGCAAATATCGTGAGATATCCAGCAAGGGTAATTTCTCGCGCGAAGATGTTGTCACAGCTCTTACCACTCACCAGGGCAATGTTGAAATGGCTCTCATGGATTTGGGTCGTAATCAGCTGAAACCCTTTCTCATGCGCATTTGGGGCTCACCCGGCGGGGTAGAGAATGAAAGTGGATCCATGATCATACCCCCCTCATCGCACTCGAACGACTCCTACAGCATGGACAAAGGTTAGCTAAGCCTACGGCAAAGGCCATAGCTCTCTTTTCTCTTCTCTCTCGATTGAATCTCGCCCATCATCAATTTCTCATAACGGTTTTTCGTTCTCTTCCTTTTTCTCATTTTTTAGACATTCATAACTTTCTCAGTGCCAATGCTTCTGACTGCATGCAAATCCCCAATGCGAATGGAGCTTTTCCATCACCCAACACCAGTCAAGCACCACCCTCCCCATTCGATCTGCCCGAATCAGTAATGAATGCCTATGACTCACACCACCATCTGCCAGACAACACATCCACCTACAGCAGTAATGCCAGCAGCTTTAAAGACTTTGCCGCCAGTCCTCAACCTCCACCACCACTGCCACCTCCCATCGATGATGCCATCCTCAATAACAAAAGTATGTTAAAAGATTTGGAATCCCTAATCGGCAGCATGGAACAGAATCAACAAAAGCAAAACGAACAGGTGCTCAGATCCATAAAAGACATGATTGACAATATGAAAAAGGACAAAACGGACATGGCGGACTATGATGATCCCGAGGACATGCGCATACTAACCAAGAGTCCCATTAACACATCCAAATTCAAGCAGCAGCAGCAACAATCCTCCGCGGAAAATGCGGCAGATGTCAAGAATTTTGTATGGCAGCATATCCAGGAAATTGTTCCGAATCTGGTTCAGCAAGTCGAAATGGAGCTGTTGGAAGACAGTGAGGCCACCACCAAATTGGAGATTCCACCTGAGAACCACGAACCTGCTGAGGAGGAGCAAGGCGAAGAAGAAGAGGAAGAAGAAATTACAGCACCACTTCCACCCCCACCACCTCCCATAGATCAAGATGAGTTCCTCATGGAGGAGGTTATTAAACCGAATTTAAGAAATGCTTCCATTAGAGAGGAGTTACCTCCTGAATATGTCTACACAGCTGAGATAGCCACCTTCCAAATGGCCTTCGACAAGGCTTTGCAGAGGGAGCACCAGCAACAGTTTAAATATGATTCGTTGAGGAATGCATACAGAGAGGTCTTCAAAATGTACTTGGCACCGGTTGCTCCGCAGAGCGTGGCCCAAACTATTCCCGCCACTGTTCATGACTTGGCTGGGGGATCTCCAGAGCTAGGAATTCCAACGACAATAGAAGACTTGCCATTACCTCCAGTGGGAGGACAGGTTGTGTCGGCGCCGGAAGTGCCAAAAGAGGAGGTTAAAGTTGAGGAGTCGAATGGTGAAAATAAGGATCAACTGAATGAAGTCTCCGAAGCTTCGACAACTCAGTCCGTTGCCACAGAAGAAGTCTCTAGGGAGGAATTGAGAACTGAAGGAACCTCCAAGAACGTTTCCAGAAAGGAAGTGAGAACTGAAGAAACTTCTAACGACGTTTCGAGAGAGGAAGTCAGAACTAAAGAAGCCTCAAAAGAAGAAGTGTCAAAATCGCCTGGGGAAATGGAACAGCCAAATAGTTCCTCGGTATTGAGGGAAGTTGAAAGCCAATCAGTTACCCAGCCCAGTACAACAACGGAAGTCCTTGAAGAAAAGACAGTAATTGAAAAATCACAGGAAAATGGAGTGGAAAATATTGCAACTGCATTCGAGGAAATTCCACAACCTGCAATGACTCAACCAGAAAATAATGACGTTTCTCCAATAATTTCTCAACCTCCATCTGCTCAAGAATCACCAAAGGAGGCAGACTCAAGTTCACAAGAAAATCAGCAGGGGTTGCCTGAAGAAACTTTAAGCTCCCCCGTTCCGGATGAAAGTAGTCCAAATGTAATATCGAAGGAAACCCCAAGTCCTGCAACAAATTTGCTGGACGAATCCACAGAATCGGATTCCATTCCACCTAGCTCGGCACAAACATCCAATGAAACCACTACGCCTCCCCTGAGTGAGGCCACGATGTCTGTGACGCCGACCGATGACAATTTAAGTTACAAATCGACCAGAAGTTCTGTGGAACCTGTGGATGTTGAAACAGTCGTATCATCCTCCTCAGTAGTAGAGCCAGAAGAAGACAAAACAGAGCCACAATCGAATAAAGCCCCAGACACTACTGAGACTATTAATGATAATTCAGCCCAGGCTCCCAATGATGAACCTGTTCAGATTCCAACATCTAAGGATGCCCCCTCAATACAATCTCAAACCAGTAGTGCGAAAGAGGAGTATCCATTACTGGAGACAAATAAATCAGAGGACATTGTAAACTCACACAAAGACACGCCCTCAACAGAATCTTCTCAGGCAACAATCTCCCAACAGGATGCTACTATTTCCGCAAAGGTTGGCCCTCAACCAAGCATTTCATCGGAAAATCAAGCCTCTGGCTTTGGAACTGAAAAGAAACCACCAGCCACTGAAAAAACTGCCAAAAGAATATCCAAAATTCCAGTGCGGAGAACAGCAAGTAATACCAGCTTAATTTTGACAACAACACCGTCGTCTAAAGCACCCCAACCAAGCCCACAACAAATTGAAGCACTCCAGACACATGTTCCCGCAGAATCGGAAGAATCTAAAGTACAAACACCTACAGCAAGCAATGAAGAAACCCCCTCCACCAATATTCCAAATGAAGCCGAAGATGATTCCGAGGACGAGCTTTACAGTCTGGCAAGTGATTCATCTCTCGACGAAATTGACACCCGAACCTACGTCCAATCACCCACCGATACGGAGTCACGATTCGATGATGTCCAATCCCCCACGAGTACCAATGAAATGTTCCTCATGATTCAACATGACACGGGGGAGACCTCAATGGAAGAAAGTACTGTGGTGCCATCGACCAGCAGTTCTACTGTCCATTCGGCGATTAGCTTTTCATCGGGCCTTAAGTCGCCGCCCAGTGAATTTATTCCTTCCGGAGATCCCAGTAAACAAAATCTCTCAGAATTGGTGAAGGACACTCAGCGGCTGATCAAGCAAATGAAAGAAGAAATCAACATGGATGACTTTGAGTCCTCCACCGATGAGGATGACTACACAGATGATTACAGTGATGAATACGATGAGGAGGAAGAATACGAAGAGGAGGAGGAATACGAAGAAGAGGAAGATGAAAATGATGATCTCGAGGATTTGAGTGAAGAAGACGAAGCAGAAGGCATCGATGATGAAGAGGGTCAATGGGAAGATCAACCCGAAGAATTTAATGAAGTTATTGGAGATAGAAGTCACGATGATGATGAAGAGGAGGATGAGAAGCATCCCAACATCGCAAGTAAAGATCAAGTTACACCTGAAACAGTTCACAATGAATCAGATCACACTCATGCCAATGCCTCACACTCGCCCGAGCATCATCTGGCATCATCTTCTTTCCCATCCTCATCTGAACATTTAATTCAAACTTCCATTGAATCTAATCAAACTCTCACTAATGACGAAACAATGGCTTATTTGGAAACAGAAAATCAAATTCCGGAAATACCAGCAGAAACGGTTTTGGCATCCAGTCTCAAGGAGGAAAGTTCAGCAGCTGAAGAATCCACACAATCTGAAAGCTTGACAACAATAAAAACCGAATCCATGCCCATGGCACTTGCTAATACTTTGGAAAGTGAAAATTCTTTGCCGGAACTCCCAACGGAAATTGTTCTAGCTCCAGTTACGGAAATGTTGCCGCCACAAACTGAAAATACTATTCCAGAATTACCAGCAGAGGCAGTTCTGCCCCAAGAGCAAACTCTCACCCACACCTCCTCATCCATGAAAGTTATTAACACAGCTACTAACGATACATCTCTGGCATCAGTCTCGGCATCATCCCCATCTCCATCATCATTGAGTAAAGATCATGAATTACCATCATCATCGGGTTCTACGACATCTCCAAAAGTATCCAAACAGGATTCTGTGGAAGTAGATGATACCAAACCCTCAACTAGCAAAGCCTCAACTGCCAAACCCAAAGCAACTGCAAACAAAAAGAAAGAGGATGCAAAGGCAAATACCAAGAAACCCGCCACGGCCAGTAAAATACCCAAACCCAATAACAGTCAAAGGGATCAAAAATCCAAAGCCAATACTGAGGCCACCAAGGAAACCACTAACAAATCCAAGGATCTCCCCAAAGATCCACCAAAAACCACAACTGGTACTCTCAAAAGCAAAACCGAACCTAAAATGATTCTACCCACACGCTCGAAATCATTTTCTGGACCACCTACACCCATTGTCTTGACATCCGTTAAGACCATAACGCAACGTTTCCAAACGGTACAAAAGTCCCAGAACAACAAGCCTCAACTGCAGAAGGCACCCACAACTATTGCCAGAAAACCATCCATTACTGAGGCCATAAATCGTCTCACAAAGCCTACCTCCTCAAACAACAGCTCCGAATTACCCAGCACAAGTTCTTTGTTCAGAACAAGAACCACTCCCCGGATACCGAAGAAGAAATATCATGAGACCTGTTTTTCGGATGACGATTATGAAAGTACCTCTACTGAGGAGGAACCCGAACCCATTGAGATAAGACAGCGTAAAATGAGTGTGCCTGTATTCAGAGCTTATCCTAGTGTCCAGGAGCCGGAGGAGGTGAATACAGAGGTATGAACTAAACTCTCTCCATATTCCCCATTCGCTTTTTGAATCATTTGCTTTTAAAAAAAATGACAATCCTCCTTTTCAGGAACTGGTAGATAAGTTCGTAAAGGAAGAACTGGTGAATACCATAGCCGAGGCCCAGATTGCAGCTGCTTTGATCAGCATGAAATTCCAGCAAGACGTCTCCCTGTGGGCTGCCAAAGAATGCAGTGATTTGGAACATGCCATAGCTCTGCTCAAACAAGACTGTGAACTATGCAGCGGAACCTATGCCCTCAACGAAATTGTCTCAATGCTCAAATGCACGCACAAATGCTGCAAACAGTGTGCCAAAACTTATTTCACCGTACAGGTGAGTATTGGAGCAGTAAACCTTCCCAAGATATTTCAGCTGGAGAAGGTTGACGCAAAGACAATTTCAAAAATATTTCAGTTCTTATCTAAACAGAAGATTTTCTTAGGGTAAAAAATAAACAAGAAAAAAATCAGCTAGGTTCGGCTGGGCCGAACTTTAGAGGGTACTGCAACATTATGAAGAAACTTCAAAAATGTAAAAAAAACCTTCGAAAAATACCGCTTAAGAGGAAACCGTTATACGGGGGCTATACGAAGACGAAGTCCTGCATAAACAATTCTTGTCATGGGCTGTAGTACTCATGGCGAACTTTAAATACGACATTTGAAACAACTCCGGTAAAAATGTCTCTAATATCAACAAATTTGAAACAATTCCGGTGAATAATGCGGCTTATATCTCCAAAATACCAAATATAGGGAGGGCCGTTATATGTAAGCTATAAAAAAAAGTGGACCTACATAGACAATTATCCGTCATAGCTTCCGATTCGAGCTTTAAATACGAAATTTTATTCTGGTTAATAAAAAAAGTTCTCAAAATCATCAAAATACCGAAGGATACATCCCGATATCCTTATACGGGAACTATACGAAGATATGGACCTACATACGCCAAAAAAAATCCGTCAAAAAATACCACTTAAATTTAGTCCTGCATAAACAATTTTTTGTCATAGGCTGTAGCACCCATTACGAAATTTAAATACGAAATTTGAAATAATTTCGGTAAAAAATGTCGCTAAAATATATAAAATATCGAATATTGTGGACCTATATAGACAAATCTCTTCCAGCGGGAAAGAGCTCAGAAGGAACTCCTTGTGTGGATTTTCAGAAAATTCCATTAAAAAATGTGGCTACAATCATCAAAATATCGAATATCGGGAGGGGATTTACGATATCGTGAACCTATGTAGGCAATTCTCTCCTAGGGAGTAAAGTACTTCCAGACCAGGAGTTGTGGAATTTCAGACAATTCCATTGAAAATGTAGCTACAATCATCAAAATACCGAAAATCGGGACATCGTGGACCATTATATGGGGACTATGCGACATCGTGGACCCTTATAGGCAATTTTCTTCTGGGGGTAAAGTATTCAGAAGGAACTCCCGGTATGGCATTTCAGACAATTCCATAGAAAAATATGGCTAAAATCTGCAATATACCGAATATCGGGAGGTACCGTTATATGGGGGCTCTACGATATTGTGAACCGATATAGCCCATCTTTGAACCTGAACTGACTGCACACAAAAGACTGATATATGCAAAATTTTCAATGTGTTACAAATGGAATTACGAATTTAATATACCCACCCTCCATACCATGTATGGTGCAGGGTATGAAAAGGAGTTCTATGGACGGAATAATTTTTAAGAGCCTTCTTCGAAGACCTGCCATACCTGTTATAAAATGAATAGATCCTACAGATTGTCAATAGGAAACCGTCTAAATGCGTTCATAGGATACAATACCTTCCCCAAATAAGATACCCTCTATAAGTCTTTCATAGAAATATGTTCTTCAAATAATTTTAGGCCTTCCATTTATAGAAGACTTTCTAAAGATATTCCATTGTAAAAAAAAACCAAAAACTTATTTTTGCTTTTTAGCCAACTAGACGTCGTATTTCGTCGTCGTATAAAAGAACTGTTCTAGGTCTTTTAAAGAAAAAATACAATTTTTAGCTCTTAGATAAAGGAATCTCTATACCTCATCTACAGACAGAAGACCATCGAAACTTCATTTGTTATTAAGAGTACTTCTATAGCTTGTCTATAACTTAAAAAATTCTTTTATAAAAAAGGGCCACTTAAGCTATTTTAAAAACAGCATGCATTCCTAAAGCCTTATAGAGAGAATACAGTTTAAGTTCTTCTCCGAACATAAATTATTCTTTTTCCATATGAGAGGATACAACTCTCTCTCAAAATGTTATGACATCTATAGCATATAATATCGTTAATATATAAACATTATCTACAAATAATAACTTCTTTATATCTCTCCCTCTCTGTCTCTCTATCCCTCTCTTTCATCTTTCACATATTTGCCCTATAGATAACCGAACGCAGTATTAACGATTGCAATTGTCCCTTCTGCAAAATACCCGAATTGCACAATCAAAGCGAACACGAAGATGACAATTTGGAATATTTTTCAAATTTGGATATTTTCCTCAAGAATATTGTCGAACCCGAGGTGCATGAACTTTTCCAACGTAAGCTAAGAGATCGCACCTTGCTCAAAGATCCAAATTTCAAATGGTGTGTTCAGTGTTCGTCGGGATTCTTTGCAAGACCGAAACAAAAGAGATTGATTTGTCCCGATTGTGGTTCGGTGACATGTGCTTCGTGCCGGAAAACGGTGAGTAAGATGAAAGTAGAAGGAGTAATACCAAAAAATAATATTTGTTGGTTGTTTTTTTCTCCACAGTGGCAAAAACAACACGAGGGCATTTCTTGTGAGAAATTCTTGGAATGGGAAATGGCCAATGATCCGGCTGTCCAGGCCCTGGGCGTAAAGGAGCATTTAGATCAAAATGGCATTGATTGTCCCAAGTGTAAATTTAGATATTCTCTTGCCAGGTGGGTTTCTCTTTGAGAGAGAAAAACGACGTTATTACCAATATTATTTATGATTTCCATAATTATTACAGAGGAGGTTGCATGCATTTCACCTGCACCCAATGCAAATACGAATTTTGCTATGGCTGTGCCAAACCCTTTATGATGGGTGCCAAATGCACCATATCACCGTATTGTGCCAAACTTGGTCTACACGCCCATCACCCCCGTAATTGTCTATTCTATTTAAGAGATAAATTGCCCGTGCAATTGCAAATCCTGTTGAAGAATAATGGCGTGTCCTTCGAAGTGGATCCCATCGAAACACAGGATGATGGCAACGTTCCCGGCTCGTCACAAAAACAGGCTCCCCTCTGTCCCATTCCCATACAAAAGGAGACACCGAATGGTTTGGTGGACACCAAATGTAACAGTGATGTGCCCGATAAACATGCGGGAATGTGTCGGTGAGTAGATGTAGCCATTAAGAAAGATACCCATATTAGGATTTGAGTTCTGCATCAGAAATTATGATTTCCTTGAAGATTTTACTATAAGGCAAAAGGATAATGTGGGAAAAATCAAAAAATGCAACCCTGTAATGGAGCCTAGTTCTGTCACTTTTACCAATGAATCCAGCAAAAAAGGGGTTTAGAAATTATTTTGAGGATTAAAAAAATTGGAACGTCGATTGTTCATAAAATATTTTTACATTCGAAAATTATGATATTTCCTCACCACGAAAGTTCCAAATTTAAATTTTAAATGCAAAGTTCTTCATATACTTCAAAATATTGCATATACTGACAAAAATTTGGGTTATATAGCCTACCTTATATTGTTCTGCCAGGGTAGATTCATTACCTTAAAATAAAAAAAAAATAAAAATTAATTAACAAAAATTATTATAGGAAAAAAATTATGATAGATGTATTGTCCTTGCCTTCCTTGTATTATTGTACAATGGGTGGTACAATAAGACAAGGTAGTTCAAATTACCACAAAAAAAATTAAATTTAAATTTCAATAACTCCTTGACAGGACCCACTATGTGGAATATTTAACAGCCAAAGTGGCCAAGGCCAAAATTGATCCCTTGCCCATTTTCGATTTGACTGATTGTGTTCAGGAGCTGCGTCGCCGTGGTATACCCCTGCCCGAGCGGGGTCCCTGGGATACAGATGAAATCTACAAAAATATGTGTGCTGAGGTAAGGTGGAATTTTGTTTGAATATCGAAAGTTATAATTAATGGTATTTTCCCTCCCCTTTCTTATTCACAGGTCATACAGAAGAACATACCGCTAGAAACGAATTAATTGTTCGAAAAACGCAAGGACTGTTTCATTATCACACACACACTCATGCGCACGCATAATCGTATATAATTTTTTTTACACATTATTCATGCATTCATATATTAAATTATTTATAGTCGCATTCATCAATTTCATGTTTTATTATTATTTGTTTGTGTCTAATTATTTATTAATTGAAACACAATTTGCATTAACTTATATACAATTCGACAAAATAAAAATAAAGTAACGAAAAGTGGTTTTCGGTCTTAAGAGAATTTTTTGAATACAACATGGTAAGTTGGAGTGGAGTGTGTTAAGGGGGGTTTTGAGCACCTTCTTCCTGTAAAAAATTCGGGAACTATATTTCATCTACAAAAGTTATATGCAAGATATTATATGTGAGAAAGAACCACAAAAAGTTATTTAGTATTCACCGAAGACAAATATAAGGTACTCTGATAATAAAAGGGCCATGGAAGGTTTTCTATTTGTATAAAGGCTATAACTAGTTTAAAAAGTTTTGTTTTCAAAAGAGAGAAAATTACATTTTCCTGAATGATGAATTGCGGAAAACTACTATAGTACTGCATTTTTCGGGCCTCTCCATAGAGCATATATTTCTCGGTTGCGAATGTAAATGTTAGATTTAAGTTAATTTAGATAGAATTTATTGCGAACAAGTGTTCTACGGCCCAAGAAAACAAAGTTAAAGCCAAATCGATTGGAAAATATGGACTTGCAATAACTAAAATAAGGGATAATATATAACTGATGTATCAAAAGGTGTACCTATATTGAATTTTATAAATAGCGTTTCTACGCCATAAGAACTAAAAATGCCTACATTTGGCTGAATTAAATGGAAAATATGGCTAAAACTTAAAAAAACGCTTGAAATCGGAGTTATTCTTACAAAGGCCTATTCTAAATCACCCATTCTCTTTACTAATGATTCCGTATGTAATCCAAAAATCTCTATCAAATCTCATAGCTCGTTCCTAAATGACGCGAATTATATCTAAAACTATAGATGTCACTTTGTATACGATAAAAACTATGTTAGGGCCTTAACAACATTTGACCTATGAACCCAGATCTCCTTGGCGGATTTGATCTAAAAACAAATACTATCAGGTACACTTGACATTTTCCAAAACCCTAACTGGCTATTGTACAGTGAAATTAAAAGCAGCAGAGATAATTTTGTAGCTTCAGAGAAAAACAAGTATTTTTTTATCAACCAAAATTATTATATTTTTATACCCTCCAACTTCAAAAGGTTTGTAACATCCCCAAATATTCGTCGTAGACCCCATAACGTATATATATATATTCATGATCAGCATAAAAATCTAAGTCGATTTAACAATGTCTGTTTGTCTGTCTGTCCGTGTGTTCGTCTGTCTGTCCGTCTGTTGAAATCGCGATACAGGCCACATTATTTGATGTAGAGTTTCAACATTTGGCAGAACAATTTGTATTGTGTATTGAAATTCGCCCCATTTTTTCATTGTTTCTAGCTCCGGTGGTGAAACATTGTATGTATAGTTCACCATTTTTGTATAGCCCCCGGTACTTCCCGATATTCGGTGTTTTGAGGAATTTTGCCACATTTTACCACGGATTTGTCTAAAAATTGGTATTTGTAGTTCGTAATGGGTTCTAGCTTCTGTGGCAGAACTTTGAGTATCAAAGTCCATTTTTTCTTATAGCGCACATATAACGGTACCCACCGATATTCGGTATTTTGATAATCCTAGTCACATTTTCCCACGAAATTGTTTAAAATTTGGCAATTAAGAAGATTTAGTAGATGACAATCCTTGAAGTATAAAATTGTCTATGGAGGTTTCCGTTTTAGTATGGCCCCCATACAACAGCCTTTATGCTTTTGAAAAAGTTAAACACCGATCTTACGGTTTGTGAAATAAATTTAAATTCAGATTCTTTTATAAAAAAGTTTCTTTTCTTTCTTTCTCAGTAAAAAAAGCAAACACAGAATTTTCATTTTGAATTTTTGAATGACATTTTCATAAAAACTATAGGACTTAGATATACGATTTATTCTGAGATTTATAGTGAAAATTTTTGTAGGATATTTCTCCTTTTGACACCTTACGACTAAAACGAAATGTCATGTTAATTTCAGGTGTCAACTCAACAATAATCCGAGGAAGATTTTATCAAAAAATTACGGACTTTTTTGGTTTTTTTTTTTTTTTTTGGAACATTGATGCACTTTTTTTTGATATACAAAGTAAATAGAGACTTCTTTTCTTTACAGACTTATAGTAAAATTTGATAACGAATATGTTTGTCTTGGACGTCATAGTTTGAAAATGATGTTTTGTTGAAGATTTTCCCAAAAACTCACACAAAGTACGGCCTTAACCCTAACCTTTTTAGGACCTATAGCAAAATTTTATGAAAAATAATTTTGTGCAGTATTTTATCTTGCTACGATCCCGTTTTAAGGTAGTTTTTAGCCATTTAAAAAGGGTCAAAAAGACCCCTTTGTTGACTCGCTCGAGGGTTAAAACTTTTGACCTAAATTATTCCTCGTTTTTTAATTTGCAATATTGCCCAAGACACCTAAGATGAAAGGATTCCAAAGAAATCTTTATCCGAAAATTTCCAAAAGTGTGGAGCATAAGATAACTTATCCCCTCTATTTAGGTTGCTATGTGAAGTAAAGTTTCAAAATGCCGATAAACGTGTCTTCTTTTATTAGCTCTACTTTCAAAATCTGCTGGCCTTTTCCTTGAAATGATTGAAAAAATTAAATTTTATCGCACATTGTAAGATTTTTGATAGCTATTTTGAAGGCAGTAAGTTTGAGTTTCCTACATTTTGGGTATAACTGTAACAGATTTGTGCAATTCTTCTATGAAAAGGGTGTGAAAAGTTACTGTTTAATTCCAAATGTTTACCAGATATGGAACCAGCATTGGTTTGTTTGTATATGTGTGCCTGCCCATTGGCGAATGAACGTGGTTGTCCATTCGTTGAAATTTTGCAAAACATCCCCAATTAGTTAGTTTGGTATGGAATCGCGTCTTTAAAAAATCTTTTAGTAAGGGAATTAAGTACGAGGTATGAGAAATATTCTCTTTTTACTTAAGAGTCTACAGTCGATTTTGATTAAAGTCGAAAAACAATATTAAATATATAACTTAATAAAAGAATATAACTTGTGTCTTGCCAATAAGTTTAAGTTCCCTGCATTTTGCACCTGACTGGAAAGGTTCAGCTTTAAAGTCCAAATGGTCATCCCTACCGCTAGGTATTGCAGATATTCCAATGTTTAGTCAAGTCTAAACGTATGTCGATCCAAGCATCACAATATTGTTTTCTTTTGTTTTCACTACTCAAAGCTATTTTTAATTTTTTTTTTTGTTAGGTATCAACAAATAGAACCAATAATCATAATCAAGGTATACCCCCAAATACACAGTTGGTCAGCACGAGGCGCCTTTAAAAAAATCGATCTTATGTTTCATTTCAATTGATGTGTGAAAGAAATGTCGATGAGTGTACTTTCTGTGATTGAATAATACTAGGTGTGTTTTTTTTATTTTTTTATTTTCATTTATACAATTGTTGTTATTTTTAAAAATAGATAATTGCTGATTATAAAATATGATTTTGGACTATGTACACCATTGAGATCATATTGTGCCCACAATTTCTGGGGTAAGGAAAAGAGGTGTGAAAAAGGTCTTGAAGATTATAGTATAAAAAAGAACTCTACGACAGTTCGTCAAATTTATATAAAACAATTTTGGGTTATACAGTGTGAGATAAAAAAAAACTGCAACCAGCTTCAGACTGCTATCATTTCTAAGCCACTCGTCCGACAACTGTTAAAATTAGTCCAGTGACAGCTCATTATATTGTTTACAAGCATACAAAATCATTTTGGTGAGAATTTTTCAGAAAAAAATTATTCGTGATGGAATTCAAGCGTGATAGTGTGATTTTTTTGTATTTGGGTATCGTTGGAGCCCTCCAGCATTTAAATATGACTAAATTTTTTGTGTCTCGTATCATAGATCGTTACCGTGATAGCGTGGTAGCGGAGCCCGACGTCAAGGAAGTGGACAGAAGAAAACAGCAACATCAGCAGAAATGGTTCAAAAATTAATTTAAACCACTTCATCGAAACCCGCGTCGTCGTGGCCGAAAAATGACTAGTGTGCTGAAAATATCGCAATATTCCATTCGGCAAATATTGAAGAATGAACTCGAGGTAAAGCCATTGAAATTCCAAAAAGTGCAAGAACTTACACCGCAACAGAAAGAAAATAGACTCAAAAGAGCTTAAGAGTTGCTTCGTTTGGCCGAAGGTGGTGAACTGCCGAATTTGGTTTTCTCCGATGAAGTAACATTCATTGTCCAGCAGTTTGTAAACAAACAAAACGATCGTGTTTACCTGCCAAAGAGGTCAGCTGAAAATGTGCACCTTCGGTGGGCTACCAGAACTCAAGCGCCGGCCATGATGTGGTGATGGTGTGGGCCGCCATAACAGGCGATGGTCGCTCTCCGCTCCTATTAATCGACCGTGGCATCATAATAAATACCGAATATTATCGCGAACATATTCTGGAGGGTGTATTAAAGCACCCAAGGGCACGCAAACATTTTGGCCGCAGACTTTGCACATTCCAATAGGACTCAGCATCCTAGCACTCATCAAGCGCCACCCAAAATGGTTACAAAATGAGGTTTCTCGCACCAAAATCTCCGGATACCAATCCGTTGGACTATTGTGTCGGGAGTATTTTGGAAAGCAAGGTTGGTACAAAAAAATACCAAAGTGTCGATAACCTCAAGCCAACGCTTCGTCGGGAATGGGCCAAAATATCGCAGAGCAGCATTCGGGCAGTGTATGACGGTTTCATTGGCGTTAGAAGGCCATAATTCGTGCCAAAGGTGAAAAATTCGAACAAATCTAAACTTATTCTTAAATTTGATGCTATTTCCGACATTTTTTGTTTTCATTCAATAAAATTAAAAAAAGGGTAAAAATTATTGCATTTGACTTTGTTGCGGTTTTTTATCTCACCCTGTAATTGAGTTAAGATGTATTAAGATTTTCGTGGTTTCCAAAAAAATAAAAAAAAAGGAACGAACTTCGACAAAATTGGAATTTATATTTTTTGACGAGGGAAAGAAGGCTTTAATTACTCTTTCTAATGAGGAGAATGGAAAAAAACTCCCGCACAATGTTTATTCGCCCTGATTAGCTTTGAT